AGAGAGAGAGAGAGAGAGAGAGAGAGAGAGAGAGAGAGAGAGAGAGAAAAGGGGGGAGAGAGAGAGAGACAGAATATACAGTTTGCAGGCGGTGGGCTTCTGCAGCCAGTCTCCTTTAGACTGGGGGGCATCTTTATCTACTGGGGAGGAGTGGAGACAGACTGATGTGGCTACAGATGACAAAGAAGAACGTGAAATGACTGTGATTGTAGATTGAAAACAAACAGATATTAGACCGTAGAGTAAAAGACACGGAGGGAAGGTTGGATCCGGTGGTCTCAGTCGTCATCTCGGGAAGAGGCTGTGGGTGTCTACCTGTGTGTCCGGCAGTAGCATCGTGGTGCGAAGAGGTGAAGCCCACCGGCAGCCATGGCAGTCAGTACGTGGCAGGCTCTGTCGCCACTGCAGTGGGCTCGCTGGGGCTGGGACACACTGCTGGGAGGGGCAGGAGACGGGGACAGCCCGGGCTCGGATCCGGCTTTGGGGCTCCTCCGGAGTCTGTCCTGGGGCTCACGTCATGACAGCATGATCAGTTCTGCCACGGAACCGTTCAGACAGAGGTGAGACAGGAGGACCTTAGTAGTCAGTTTTATCTGGTGAGCTTCGCTTTGTGTGTGTGTGTGTGTGTGTGTGTGTGTGTATATTTGTTTGTTGCTGAGGAAAACCAATCAATATGTCTTTTGCGCAGGATGATAACATTGTAATTTTCATTTACAGCCTATTGTCATGTAGAAATTGGTAATTTCTCCAGTTTCGGCTGAGTGTGTGGCTCAGTGTTCCCCTCAGTCTCTCCCTATATATTTCATATCTGTGATGTAGATCTTGAGGTGGTCTTGTGTGAGTATGGGTGTTGCATGTGTGTGTTAAGGTGATCCTGTGTCCCAGATGTGTTATTATCTGTCGCCTCACTGCAGATTCAGCGTTTTCATTTGTAGCCATAAAAGTCCACAAGAAATGAAAACCGAAACACACACTAGCCTGAAGGCCTTTTTTGTTTTAACACATACACACTGCTGGAAATTGCACCTGCTGCCCTCACGACCTGAAGCACTAAAGAACAGTATCGGAACTGCTTTCTTGGGAGAAAGATGTATCATTCGTGATGTCCGCTGTCTGAAGGAGAGAAGTTTAGCTCACCGTCACATGGCGTCAATAATCCAGATACAGTCACTAGAGTTCAAGTGATGTCAGTCTGATGTAATCTCATCTTTTTTTATAGGAGTTCAGACTCTGATGGAGCGTTTGAGACCCCTGAAGCCACAACCCCAGTGAAGGCTCTTTCTCCCATAGATCCCCCAACCCAGCAACTAACGTCCGATGACAAAGGTAGGGTAAGAAAACCATGCCCTGATGTGCGTATGATGCTGTGTTACACCGTCATCAAAAAAAAAAAAAAACAGGTGTAAGAAAGTCTTGCTGCGCCATCTAGTGGAATAAAGCAGTGGACCAATCTGTTTGCTGAGACAAGCATCTTGGGCTTTTGGGATATCTAGGAAAGGCTGACCAATCGGCTCAGTCTCTCTCTCTCTCTCTCTCATGTGGTTAATTGTTGTTAATTTCTATCCAACTGAGAGACTCTTATTGAATTATTTATAGCACATTCATCTCGATAACTGGATGTGTCAGAAGCCAGCAGCAGCTTTTATCTCCATGCAGGCTGTCACGTTCACACCTGCATCTCAGCCACGAACCAGTTCAATTTTATTTCAGTTTGATTTTATGCCTTTTTTATCAGCTAAAACCTCTTTACGTTACATCTCTCCATCTTTTGCAGTAGCAGACACATCAGTGAGTCATCCTGCCTCGGAATTGTCTTCCGCTGATGCCACATGTCGTTCCCCGTCCATTATTTTTGATGAGGACAAGCCCATTGCAGCTAGTGGCCAATACAACATTGAGATTACTGGAGATTCAACAAGTCACAATCTGACCCGCTCACTCAGCCTCCAGGGAGGAGAACTAGACAGTGCTAGTCTGTTGGACGGTTCCTCAGTGGAAGGCTTCCGTCCACATTCTGAATCCTTCAGCGTAGGCACCGAGAGTGCTCCAGGGACACTCCACAGGCCCAAGAAAGTCCATCCTGGGTCTGTGAAGAAGAAGCCTGTTCTCAGACAGAACTCCAACCCAGAGAGTCCGAAGCCAGCCTCATCCATCAGCACCCCTGAGAGCAAGAAGCGCGCAAAGCCTCGAACTGCCAGCCCTCTCCAGCCTCAGGAGGAAGCAGAGCGGGGATCTTCAACCCCCAGCCCTGGAGGAACCCTCCGCAGAACCAGGAAGAGCCGAGTGGAGACTCCTCCTCCCCTGCCGGAGGAGACCAACCACACCAGCCAAGAGGAGAGCCTTGTCATCCCTGCCTTACCCTTGTGCCAGGAGGATACCCCTCTTGCGAGTAGTCCAACAGGCGGAGACGAATCCCCCATCCCCCCTAGTACCTCCTACAATTGGGATCCAGATAATTTTGAGAGCATCGATCCTTTCAGCACTGGAGGGAGTAAAATTGCCAATTCCCCTATCCTGGGTCGTAAAGGCCCCGTGTGTGCCCCCATTGCTACCCCTCCAGAGAGTCCCTCTGTCTCTTCTGTAGAGCCGTGTCCCCCAGCTCCTCTTCAAGAGCCAATCAGCAACCCTGAAGAGCAACCCATCATCCCCAAGCGTCAGTCAGTAAGGCTGGAGTTTGACTACTCTGAGGAGGGCAGTGAGGCGTCACACCAGGCCTCCCCCCCACCCAAGAGAGTGGGCAAGAAGCCCGGTGCGAAGATGCCTCTGAGGAAACCAAAGCTGGGGCTGAAGAAGGCCCCTCAAGTGCAGACGGAGCAGCTGGACAACCATCCCCCAGCAACCCACAATGGCAACGAGGAGAAAATCCCTGCTACTACAGACTCTTACAAGTTGGAACCTGACAAGTGGGATGAACCCAACTTCAATCCATTTACTTCTAAGAAAGGCATCGCCATCTCCCCCAAACTGTCCCGGCCGTCTTATTCCTTCGACACCAATACCGTTGATGACTCTGAGGACCCTTTCAAATCCTCTAATAAGATGGCCAACTCCCCTCCTAAGGCCTCTGCCTCCTTCGAACTGTCATCCAATGACTATGACAATGAAAATGACAACGACAACATTGGGGAACTGGAGGACCAAAATCAGAACAAACCTGGCAAGAAGAAGAAAACTCCTATCAAATCGTAAGTTCACAGTCTATTACCACCGGGCCCGCACATTTACAGGAGAGTCCATACTCACTTACAGAACATTGTATTCATGTGAAGGAATGTAAGCGTCTCTGTTTGTGAGGTTAGTCTGTGTTTGTATGTGATCCTCTTGTCTATTATGCCAGTGTCCTCTGTCTGTCTCTCTGTCACCTGTGTCTGTGTATTCTCATATGTCACAGGAAGTCCAGGGGTGTGTCTTCTCTATGTTGTCCGTTGTAAGTACAGGGACAACACAACCATCCATCCCTCTGACTCTTAATTCCACGTGGCTCCTTTTATAGCAGCATGTTGCCCTGTTGTCCCTCTTCCTATTAACAGAAACATCACAATCCCTTGTGCCCACTATTCCATGTAAACCTTTTCAATCCTGTTTATTTTAACAGGACATACTTGTTTTCATATTTTTCTTGTAACTTTATATTATGTACAGTACAATCATGCCTATGAAATGGCAATTGAAAAATGTCATAGTACAATTAGAATAGCCATACTTGGTATATTATCTCAATAATTGCTTATATATGAGTTTACATGTTCAAAGAGCATTCAAACATCATTAATGAGTTACTACTCACACAACAATATACTCATTCAGCCTAGTACTATACAGCAGAGTGCACAAAAGTGCAGTGTTACATTACGGATGGGTGTGGTCAGCAGCGTAAAAGGCTTGTATCCTTCCAATAGAGGTCAGCGCAACAGTGTTCGATGAGGTGTTGTCAAATGACAAACTTTACACATTGCGATGGGTTATTGAGTTTGTTGTGTTGCTGCCAGTCTTTACAACATTTTGAACAGATTCTATAATTTACTATCAGCTCTTTCTCCAAACCAAAAGTTAATATTGGAACAAATTCTGTTTCATGGTAAAATGTCCCAATACGTGTTTCTCCTTTAGCTGACAAAACATCTTTTTATGTCATATAAATGTGTTAACTGTCAAGTGTCCAGTCTGCTAGTCTGTACCAAAGAAGGTGCTTGTGCTCCCTCTTGTGTTCATTTTTGGCTATTGTTGAAAAAGCTAAAACTATATAATAATTTTTCTAGATATACATATTTTTGGGGGGGGATTATTGTCCCATTTATATTAATTACTAATTAATTCTGTTAAGAATTTTAACCATAAAATACTGAGCCAAAAACAGACCTTCTCTGCTCAGATGTATTAGATTATAGTTAGATTATAGTTTTAATTAGGATCGTGCATTCTGTTGTAAATTGCTATACAAGGACTTCCACTCCTTTAAAAACCCTTTGATAATCTATGTTTTTGGGATCTATAAATTGAAAACTAAAGTCACACAAGTAAAAGGCACTAACAGTTAATAGATTATGCATCAATGTCCTAACTAACCTGTTATATTACCAAACACATTCCTCTCTAGGATCTGTGTTATTATCTATTTGTGTGGAAAGTAAACTATTCATAACATAACATTCAAGTACTACCATTACTGACCCTCGTCAGGAACATTTCACTGTTCTGTTCATTACACCCTCACAAAGACTACAGCAAGTGGTGCTGTAACGCAATGCAAATTATGTTTTCATTTTAGGAAAAAAGCAGATGTACCCAACCAGGTTTACATTTCAGTATTTGCGGCTATACACACATCTGAGATATGACGCTAGTACACAATACTTGGTGTTAGACAGTGACAGACAGATCTAATAAAGTTGTGTACTGAAGGCGCTGAGTGACTCTTGATCTTGACGATTGATGGTTTTTCCTTTTTCTCAGTCTTACTTTCAGAGTGAAAAGGTCGCCAAAGAAATCCCCATTGTCTGACCCATCCCAGGTGCGTACCTAATGCTTCATACCTGTACATCTCTCTGTACACTTGAGTCTCTCGCTGTTGTCTGCCTGTATTTCTCCCTCTTCCCTCCGATTCTGTCATTGGCACCTTCTTCGTGTTGTAGGATCTTTCGCCCACAGATGAAACTCCTTCCCTCCGCCCACAGGACGACCACGCCACAGACGAGGAGAAGCTGGCCTCCTCCACCAGTCACAAGTGGGCCGCCCTGCACGATATGGATGCGGATTTGAACTCTGACCAGCAAGACTTCCCTCAGCCATGCGACCTCACTTCCTTTGTTAATGAGAACAGTCTTCCTCCCCAGACTCCAGGTGAGGCTCAGCTGTCTGACTCTCCTGGATTCCTGTTTGTGCCCCAGGGCCACATGTGTCCAAATAAGTGCTGACAGAGATCAAAGCATACCGCAGACATGCGGCGCTCAAAGGACATTCAAAGCTTATGTTTGGATAAACCGTCATGCACAGCAACCATCCCCTTTACTCTTCATTCATCCAGCAATGTTATTGATTTTTGTTGTGGCAGTGAAATAAGCCTGTTCTCTACTGCACTCTGACCTACAGAAGAGCCTCCTTTTCCCAGGGGCTGTGTGGCTCAACCCATCTGGGTCAGAGATGAAATAATCAACAGACAGTCCTGCTTCAGCCTCTAACCTCATCAGTACAGAGCTCAACACTGGCTGAAATGTCCCTCCATTTCTTCTTCTGCCTCTAAAACTTTGTTTTGTCTTTCTGTGTTAGTGCAAGACTATGAAATTGAGTACATGGAGAAGCTTGGCTCCGCTTCGCCCGTGAGTATTTGATCGAATGTTTGCTGCTTTCTTTATTAACACTGGTTCGTTTAATATACGTGATTTAAAATTAGAATTCAGAAAGCTTATGTTTTATTCTCTTGTAGCCACTGTCTGTGAAGAAGCCGTCTTTGTACTTGAAGTTGGACTCAGTATCTGACAGCTTAACCAAGAATACGTGTGCACATGGATCTGAGCCCAGCTCCCCCTACACAGGGTACAACACACTTCTACTGCTCTACTGCATGTTTATTTCTGTGTATTTATTGTGTAGTATTTGATTACATTGTATGTTCACTGTGCAATGTAGTAAGTCTTACAATGCAATTGTCAGTGCTTTACTGCTACAGTATACTATCTACATTGCTGATTGTGAACCAGAATGATTTGGATTGCATAACGCATACAGTTGAGCTGCTCCACTCATCCATCATATACAGTAAATGACATGCCTTGTCCCTCTCTCTCCCTCCCTTTCTCCTCTCTGTCTCCCACACTGAGCAGGAGTTTCGAGGAGATGGAGGCCCAGATAACAGCGGGTATGAAGACACCGGTGCTGAGCTCCCGGCCCGGTCCCGAGGGCTCCGCTGGAGACAAGGGCAGGAAGAGAGAGAGTGACGCACTCAGCCGAACACAGAGCACGGAGAGGGATGAGCAGGTGAGCCGAGCGCTTGTGTAAATAGTCAAACTCATTGAGCAGTTATCGCATACGTTGTCATTGCTGGGTCTTGTCACCATCACGTGAGGAGAATTTGTGAGCTTTGATTTTGGAGAACTTACACCATGTCATTGTTTCGTCACGAGGGGGGAGAGTGCCACACTGCACATGCTTTGTTAGAAGGCCGTGACTTGGCCTTCCAACATGAGCGCCATCAGTCATGGTGATTCTCATTAAAGCCTTGTCACTGATGACACATAGCCAGTCTGCCACACTAGCTTCCCAGCTTGAACTCAGTGACACAGCTCCCGATGCCGCCACTCAAAACACTCAGCGCTTTGCTTTGCCATGCTGACCCCTGCCCTCCTACCTACTCCTCCCGGTGCCCCTGTAGTCCCCTTACCAGGGCCCTGTGGAGGCCCCTGCTCCAGTCCCGGCCATGCCTCTGTTAGACAGGCTGTCTGAGTGTGACGACCTCCTGCAGTACCTGGAGCCTGACCTGGCTGAGACCAACCCCACCGCATTCGCCCAAAAACTACAGGTGTGTTGACAGACTAGACGTGACCCCTCTTGATGAACCTTACATCTGGTGGCCCATTTGTGACCCTTATATGTGTGTCTTTTTCACGTTATTCTCACTGTGCCACCTAACTACATCCTGTCTTTTCATTTCCCCATTTCTCACCTCCTATGCCTCAGTTGCAGTTTTTAGCTTACTGTGGAAAATAGATCGATGGTGTGTGAAATGTAGCAGCAGCAAGTGTGTGCGCTCAACTCAAGTTTTTATATGTTTTCCCTTTGCTCTCTCATCCTTGGGCCGCAAACCCCCTTCCTTACCCCTGAAATCCATCAATCCCCCACCCCCCCATGTGTGCGGCCCAGGAGGAGCTGGTGCTTGCTGCCCTGAGGATAGAGGCTCTGCAGGTAGCCAAAACCATCTCTCAGTGCCCCTCCCTCTCCACTGTAACCCCCCAGGTACTGCGCTGAGACCTGCACCTGCTGTATGCAAGTGTGTGTGTGTGTGTGTGTGTGTGTGTGTGTGTGTTTGTAGGAGGAAAGATGCATCTCTTGAATGAGTGATTATAGAAGAGCAGGTGTGTGTGAAATGCACGTGTGCGTGGCTGTAGTGTGCGTGCATGAGTGTGTCTCAGCCTGCCTCCCCCTCCCCCTAATCACACCATTCTGAGTGTGACTGTGAGCTCATGGCCTTATCAACATGGTGGCTGCACCGCTACATTCGCAGTCCTCTTCAACAACCCCCACATATGAAATCTTTAACATGGCTTAACGTGTAAAGCTCCCACCCCGACTAGCAGCGAGCTCTTCCAGGTTGTCTCCTCAGCGACAGAGTGCTGTGCCTTCTTCGTCCCTTTGCCTTTATTATGCATGTTGGGCAACATGCATGTTGCCTGTTCATGAGAAGATTACATGAGCATGAATGTGACTGGGAATGTCTCACACTAAAATTATATCAGCCGCTGAGGAGTTATGAGAATATAACTCTCCCAGATGTATTTGTTGATGCTTTGCTGTCATCACCCCAAAATCCCAGTCACATTCTTGTGTCGTGATTCGGTCCTTTTCCCAGACTAACAGCACTAACAAACAGATACATCAGGTAGGTGACAGTATCAAGTTTAGCTGGAATCTTAGGTAGAATTTTGTGATTTTGCTGGTTGAAGGGCTTGTGCTGAAACAGCACATGCCTTCATACAGTAGAAGAAGAGTGCGATCTTTTGCTTGATCAGTGGTGAATCTACATTTTATGGTCAGTGGAAAAACTCTGGTAAGAGTTGGAGCAGGGCAGGCGCTTCTATCCCTCCATGTCTCATGCTGTTGTCCCACACATTTTACAGTCTCGACTCAAGAAACCCAGCACTCGGCGGTGGAATATCAACGGTTCACCCTTACTCAAAGTAAGAGTAACATATACCCCTGTGGTCTGTCTTGGCCTTGATCCAACTACAGTGCAGTCCAAGTATTTGGTCATAAACACATTTCTCTTTGTTTTTGGCTTAGAGCACCAGCACACTAGATTTAAAGTAACTATGAGAGTTAAGGGCTGATGGTGAATGAAGGTGTTCATATCTACATTGGTTAAGAGTGTAGGAATCACAGCCCTTTAATAAATAGTACCTCCAATTTTGTACAGTGCAGAAAATAATAGGTCTCCTTCAGTGCTGTTAAACCAATTTGAATGTAAATGCCTTTTAATTAACGCTCAGCCCTATACTCACTTAGTGCTGGAGTACAAAAGCAAAACAATTGTCCATATGGCTACAGACTGCACTGTAAACTCTAACCCCCGTAGACCCGAGAAATCCAGAAGTCTGAGATCTTTTTCCAGGTCTCACTACATTTTAGCCTACCATAGCTGTACATTGTCCCTGTAAGCCAATTTGTCTGAGTTGTGTTTTCTGCAGTCATATCTAGTATCTCTCTTGTAGTAGTCTACTAATGGCTTCTTTTTCTGTATGACGTAGCTTTTGTCTTGTGTCTTCAGTTGTCCCTTTTTTGTTCACATTAAGTAGTTTTCCCTTAAGTCTACACTAAGTGTTTTAAAATGTTTGCAGTTGACTTGACATGTGATCCAGGATGATCTGGTAAAGGAGTTTTGTACAAGAATAAATTAGCAGCAGGGCAAAGCGGGCAACTGCCCCGGGGATGGTTGTTTGTGTGTGTGTGTTACTTTGTGGTAATTTCATTCATTACAAATGTTTGCAGTAACATCAGGCTACAACCTCCTGGTCTGAAAAGTGAAGCTAATGTGGAAGTGCCTTACACTTGCATTCTTTCTAATAGCCACTAGGGGGCGACTCATCGGTTTGAAAGAAAGTCAGATTTTCTGAAAGTCTATGAGAAAATGACCATTTTTCTTACTTGATTTATCACCTCACTGCGTGATATTTATTCAGGAAATTATAGTCCCATTTAGAGTAAAATAGACAAAAAGTAGGGCATGCTTTAGGGCGTGGCTACCTTGTGATTGACAGGGAGCCATCACAGCATTGTCTGGTCTGGGAGTTGTCTGCGTTTTTGTCTTAGACCTTAAACTCTTTCATACTGTGTTTTCAGTTCATACAAGTTTATTGTAACTGTTTTGGTCGCCATAAAATGTCTTGTTCAGCGGTCGGTTGTATTTAGCTCCTCCCTCTCGTGTCACTTCAGGTTGTAAAAAACCAAGATGGCTTCAAAACAGCAGTCCCCAAACCAATGGGTGACGTGACGGTAGCTACATCCACTTCTTATATACATTCTATGGGTAATATGCACTACTGAGGGACAATTAGTAATTGTGCCCAAAAGTGGCTTTTGCATTTCTACCCAGTCTTGCGGACCTTGCGTTTCATCAAATTATTAATACGCATGTACAGACATACAGCAAACCTGGCAAAGATAGTATTCTAGTGTAGAAATTGTGGTCATTTTGATGGATTGGGGCATGTCAGTTTAGGTTGTGGTCAATAGGAGCCTCAAGCCCCCTAAAGTACTCTCAGTAAGGACACACATTTATTCAGCGTAACGGATGTTGCTTAATTATACTTCATTGCAATTTATGGTACTGGCATTTTTATTGGTTTTATTAGGATTGTCTCTTTAAAACAGACCTTTAAATAAAAGTTACTGTGAGTCATGCCAGCACTTGGTTTTGGCAGATTTTCTTTAAATTTCTGTTTAAACCTCACTGAAGTGAAAGGGTAATCCCAATCAGCACCTGACTAAAAGCAAAAGAGGTCCATGGTAACCTGAACTTGACCGGTCTTTACCTTCAGTGGGACAATGGAATTACTACTCTAGCCAGACCAAACACTCTCTTTTCAGCATATTAGCGGATCTCAGGCTTCTTGTCCCCCCGTGAGCCCCGACCACTTCATCAAATCCTCCCGTAATCCGTCTCTCCCAAGGATGACTAAATCCATTTCAGGGCAGAGTTTTAAGGGAACAAAAATGGTGCTAGAACAAGGATTGTTTTTACATTTTGATATGATGAATTGTGTGAGGAGTTGTGTTGGTAGAGTCATAGGTTGCAATGGTCTCATAAACACATGCATACATACTTTGTTTTGTAGTGTCTCTCAGTACACCTCAACACTGTATCCAAATTTAAAGTCTTTCTAGCGATACATCCTGGGAATTTCCTGGTTCACCTCAAATTTAAGTCTTTGTAAAGTAATTGGGGCATTGCTGTAACAGTTCACACTATGATTCTAGCCACAACAGGTGAGACCAGTATGTTGAAATATGCCTTAACATGAGACTAACATCTATTTCCCATGCTGCCCAGTCCGCTACCTTATCCTCCCTCTCCTGTATATGATGCAGCCCTTGCTGTATCAACTGCTGCCCTCCTTCCTGTGTACCTTGCCTGGACCCAATCACATTCAAGCTACTGACCGCTCAGCTGGGGGCAGCATCAGCCAAATCACTTGGCTAATACTGTGGCAATGAAGACTGTTTCATCCAATCATGTGGCAGCTGACCAAGTCTTCAGGAGCATCACCAGCCAATCTCATCTATATATTGATTTTTGTAGTGTTTTACATTTTGATGTAGTTTAAAGCTGCCTTGCGGTTTGATTCAGGAATGCGTGTGGCCCCGACAGTGAGGGTTTCCCATCTTTGGCTCAGTCTGGTTTGTAACTGGTTATGTTTCCTTTCCTCTCCCGCCTCTCCTTTGGCTCCTGTGAGCAGCACAGAGACGTGTCTTCTCCAGGAGAGAGCGGCGTGTCCAAGAACTCACTGTACGCCAGGACCACCGACAGCTACATCGAAGGGGAGAGTCCCCACCTGCCCAGAGAACTGGACCACTCGCTGGGAATCGCGCGAGAGGAGGTGCGCCCAAGACTCTTTCTTTTCATCCTACAAGTCAGAAATGCTGTCAATGCATTAATTCAACATCACACACCTAACTGTTTTGTCACCCTCCTCAGATCGTGACAAAGGAGAAAGAAGTGCTGGAGTGGCAGAGGAAGTATGAAGACAGCCGACAGGAAGTGGTGGAGATGAGGTAGGAAGTAGCACCTTGGGTTGTCATCACTTACATCACTGTGAGGTCCCACCCATACACTACAGGAAGGACTTAACACCTCCCTGTGTTTCTGTTCGGTGGTACTGTGTCAGGATGCTTAGTGTCTTGTTGTCAGACTCCACCTATCACCGTTTAACCTATCAATTGGTTTATCTTGCTTTAAGTGTAAAACAAAGTCACAGCTAATGCAGAATGGAGATCCAGTTAAAGAAGTCCATCTGAGTCCTACTATCAGCATGAGTGTTATAGATGATTGTGATATATGTAAATAATATAAGGATATTTTCTAGGGGCTTTAGGTGTCATTTGGATTATACACCACCAATATCTTGAAACTGTGATTAACTACACTCATATTTACGTCTACAGATGAGCAATATATATCCGACAAATATAGGTTCAAGGAGATGGCGATGTGAGGCCTTTTTCTCTGTCAGCAGGTGGTGGGTGTGTGGGTCCAGCTGGCCCCAGCTCAGTTAGTGTGGATAAGACAGAGCTTACTTCATTTGACTGATTGGGCTCAAGATAAGGAGGGGCTAAGAGGCTAAGGGGGAGGCATGGCTAATCAATCCTCTTACCTCTGGCAACCTGCTTTTGCTAAAACAAGGCTTCCTATTGGGCCCTGCTGCTCTTTGGCTTGGAGTGTGTGGGAACGTCTAGCTTTAAGACTCAGATGGAAACTGGACATAGTGCAAATAGATAAAAGATATAAAGCTAAGGATAGTTTAGGGCGCTTAAAACTCTTCAGTCACTCAATAATCCTATTATCTAAAGTTGCAGGCTGGATAACGGTGTCGTTTACCTGAATTCTAAGAAAATATCTTATTGCACATTTTACACTTAAGTTGCACTTTTTAATATCAGATGTTTCCAGCATATGAATGCAATATCAAAATTATGACAGAAAGCACAAATCAGAAGTACCAGATCCACATCTGTCTTTCAAATATCCAACCAGGTCAGGCTATGTGTTTTATTTAAACATCTTGCCAACAAACAGACATTTTCGTTGGTGTCCGGGTTCAAATGTACGGGTTGGACAAAATTATATTGTTTTAGAGATATGTATACTTTGAAATAGTTTGTCATGCTAATACAACCCTTTCCATATACTGATGATCCACAATTTTGCATCCATAGGAGGATTGTTGCAGAGTATGAGAAGACGATTGCACAGATGATAGGTGAGTTCAGTGTTAAAATACAGGTGCTCAGTTGCTAACAAAAACCGAGCATTGGTCCCAAGTTACTGGACCCTCTGTCTTTTCAGTACACGTGAAATTTATTTCAAACCAATTACTTTTGTTCCCCAACTTCTGACACTACTTTTTGCTACGCTTGTTTATTTGCAAACTGAGCAGTATATACTGTATTTGTGTGCCTTACTCTATTGCCACAGATTTCAGAGAATTAAGTACTCTTTTTATTCTCTCACTCAAGCTAGCTTTGCCATGTGCTTGCTTTCATGTTTGAGTGATATGAACTGAATCCTGACGTCTTTGGAGGGGAAATGCTGACCTTTAGCCCACGTGTGTCCAGTTTCTCTAAACTCATTAAATCACGCTGCAGGTTCCCTCTCTGCATTAGTCCTGCTCTCACCTTCTTCGCCACCTGATGATTTGACGTCCTCTGGTGTCTAATTTCTTACTCTCATTCAAAGCACTGTCACAAAAAGGAACAATCTGTCTCTGCCCGTGTCTAACACTCGGCTCTCTCACTTGCCTTGCCCTACCAGCTTGACTTAACACAGTCCATTCTTTTCTGTTCTGCTCCCATCTTTGCTCCCCTTACTATTTGATAACCCTGACAGGCATGCCAGGTGAGTAACGCGGAATTCTCCTTCACTTGTTTGTGTCAGCTCACATCTGTTTACCCCTGTCCGTCAGAGAAGGGAGCAGATGTGCTCACTTTCTTCACCTCATCCAGTGACATTTGTTTGTCCATTTTGTTGCATTTCATCCTGTATGTTGAGATTCTATTCTTTTTTTTGAATGGGTAAAAAGAGTCATTCGACATTAACTTCATGTAATCCTTCAGTTGCTGATATTAAATACAGCATACACATGTGCATATGAATACTGAGAACCTTTACATGCACACCTGCACTGTAGCAGAAGTCATTCATGCAGAATTAGTGAGTTAAGCAGGTTGGTCATGTCTAACCTAGTGACAGGAAAGGAAAGGGAAAACTGGGACGGGGCTGAAATACTTCGTAAGATGAAGGACCTGGAAGCCAAAATGCCAGCTCTGTTTTTATGGTTTACAGGTGTCTTTGATTTCCCCATTGTTAAGTGTTTTTGTTTGCATGCTTACTCGTATAGTGTAGTATAAAAGGCTGCTAAATCACACAAACCCACAAATTCATTTTAATATATTGTCAGAAAATCAAGTGTTTGTTTGTACGTATGTGTGTCTGTATACGTGCCCGGTACAGCAGACTCTTCAGTACATACCGACTGGTGATCTGATCTGCAGTATATTTGTGTGTGTCCATCAGAGGATGACCAGAAAGAGAAGTCTCTCTCCCACCACACCATCCAGCAGCTCATCATGGAGAAGGACCAGGCCTTGGCCGACCTCAACTCCGTGGAAAAGTCTCTGGCCGACCTCTTCCGCCGTTACGAGAAGATGAAAGATGTACTGGAGGGCTTCCGCAAGGTGACTGACACACATTATTCACAACTAATGAGTCTTTTCAGCATAACCGGCCTTGTAAGTCATCTGAAAATTAGCTTGACAAATCCTTATGGCAAGTAATTCAAATACTTCCCACTCCCTTCAGAATGAAGAGGTTCTGAAGAAATGCGCTCAGGAGTATCTGTCCAGGGTCCGCAAGGAGGAACAGCGCTATCAAGCCCTGAAGATTCACGCAGAGGAGAAACTAGACAGGTGGGTGTCATTATTGGGAGTTTATTCCACCATGACAGTTATTTCCGCCAATGGGAAATACACCAACTACACAATAATAATGCAGAGCTAAAATATGTTGAGATATAGGCAAATGCTGTTCCTATTGATTTCTAAAGATTCATACTGTATTGGCTTGAGGTGACTTGATTCTCATTGTATCACTTGTGTGTTTCCAGGGCCAATGGAGACATAGCTCATGTGCGGGCCAAGTCCAAGCAGGAGCAGGCCGCCCACCAGGCCAGTCTGAGGAAGGAGCAGATGAAGGTGGAATCTCTGGAGCGCACTTTGGAGCAAAAGGTCAGTCTAAATTCCTCAGTCCCGCGGTATAAAGGGATGTGAAATCATTCAAAAATATCCATGCGGACAAGTATATCAATTATTAAAAATGTTTTGCAATTGTTTTATAGAACAAAGAGATCGAGGAGTTGACAAAGATCTGTGATGAGCTGATCGCCAAGATGGGCAGGAGTTAGCGATCACACCACACCCAGGCCAAATCTCACAGAGAAGAGGAGTGGTTGCGGGAAGACACAAACAAATGTTTTACACTCTTCAAAGGACTGATGGACATTTAAGGCCAAAATGGTCTCGGGGGTTAAATTTCAAACTGACTTTGTGTATACAGGATCCACAGGAACGACTTCCCCCTAATCACTCTGTACATTTTTGATGTGTCCGTGTATCGTACTGTATCAGGGGTCTGATTTAAAGTTTAAGTAAATGTATCATATCACTAATGAGTGTGTCTGTGCGTGTGTGATAGTGGGAAAGCGAGAGCATTGTTTGTCGGTTAAATTATCTATAATGATGTTGCCATGAAAGCCACTGAGGGAGAAGACTGTTGTCCCGTTCCTGTTGTTGTCTCCTCTTGATACAAGAGAAAAGATAAGACTTTGAAAAAGAGTAACAAGAGATTTAGATTAATTTATAAAATTGTTCATACACCACTAAGAGTACACAAACTATCACAATATAGCTTACTGCATGAGGCAAAGAAAGGAGAACTTGTAATGTTATGTGTTTGTATATACTGTAGGAAATTCCAAGTATGAAAAAGATTCCTCTGCATTTTTGATAGTTACTCTGTCATCCTCGGCACGCTTCCCTCATGTGACCTTGTAGATATTTGTCATACTTGTCATAGCTTTCTCGATGAAAATTGTGCGACTATTTTTTGGGATTTTATTTTGATATAAAGCGAACTAATTGTGACCTTATTCAGTCATGACAGGAATAATTTAATTTTGGATGGATATGTCCTAGTTCTGCTGTGGTCGTTGTGTCACACTGAGGAATAACTTTTCTGCACAGCTGCTGTACAGCATCTGCTTACAAAGTGCAATAAAAGATGGCAATATAGCACACTGTATCAGTTTAGTTGATCTGGCATGACCAATACATCAGGATTATGTTGTGATCATGGTTTTCTGATATTGTCTTAGGGTTTCTTTTCTCTTACTTTAGATCTGTGATTCTCAATCAGGAGTAAGATGGTATGTGGAAAAAAACTGAAATTGTGGTAATATATATTAAAATCCTATTATATATACACATACATTTGTATTTAGGAGGGAAATACATTTAGAATAGCATTAGAAATTGCTGTGAGGCTGATCGTAAGCACATTTATTGCCACAATAACCAATAAACTACCAGCTACAAAATCCCAGCTGCACGGGAGTTTGAAATAGATCACTGAAAGTAAAAGATAGATGGTTAAAATCCAATTTCTTCCACTTAAAGTGTCAGTAGTATAAATGCAAACCTCCAGACCATGCCTAAACATCAACCGTTCAAGGATCACACTGTCTCATATGAAAATAATACTATACCACTTGTAAATAACAAATAGTGTTGAATAACATCCAGTTTGAAAGAACATATTTAGAACATGACGAGTGGAGTCACTGAACTTGAACAGTACTTGACTTTACCTGACAGAGCTGTGCAGTGTTCAATAAGCATTTTACAGGCATAACATGTTTAGAATAGCAATGAGACAGAAGACAGCCAACCTAAAATTATTTACTGCAATTCTTGGAACTGAAATTGTAGAATATGTGATTTGTAACTCTTAATACGAAGTTAATCTTTCCAAATGTCCAACTGAAGTAGATGGAACATTTCATACAAAGTACATTAAGGCATCTACATCAGCAAAATGTGTCCGAATACTGATCGCATGCTGGCACTTGTACGTCACAGGACAACTAGCTTCCTGTGGCAAATTAGCCTGGCACTGAAGGAACCAAATGGACATCTGTAGGGCCACAATGCCAGTAAAAGTTCAAAGATCAAACTGGACATGTGAAGACAGGGACAATAGAGGGAGGAGCCAGACTCGGGATGGGTGTGGCCACAGCACTGGTGAATGGTGCAGTGAGAAGTACGGGACGAATCCTTCTGCCCATCCAGGCAGAAGAAGCAAATATTGACACTCAACACAGAGCTGTGGGCCCTAGTGGAGGGGCTGCTAATCCCCTATAGTCAGTACAGGAGGGGTATCGGCTCATCTCATAGCAGATTAAGCTCAGGGTGCTTTAGGAGCAAACAAACTGCTTTTTAGTGTGTGATCAAGACGACCGAGGACCACCAGCACCATGAGAGCTGTCCAGTACTGTCCGCTGCTCCTGCTTTCTTTAGTCCTGCTAGCGACCAACAGTAAGGACTACAGTTTTTTATTGTTTTCTATCTTCACCTCATCCTTCCTCCCCTTTAGATTTCCCCTCTACCTTCTGTCCACCTTTCATTGCTTGGTGTCTACCTTCAGGTACTAGTGTGCATTTGCTTTTTTTATATGTATTTCTGTAATCTCCTGAGAGGCAGGGACCCATTGAGTGAATATCTGTCCAAAGTAGCTTTGCTCTCAGACATCAGGACAGGTTATGTTGGATACAACAACACTGCAATTATCTTTATTTTTTCGAAAATTTCCTTGCATGTTTTGAAAAAACAACATTATGTCAGCTTTGCTAGTTGCTGTTTTTCTGGTAATTTTCCTGAGTTTTGCTTGCGGTGTGTCATCTTCCTCTGTAACTAGCATGCAAGCCCCACAACTAATCTCTTAATAGGCCTGGCTAATACTTATAGCATGTGTGTGGAGCGGCTGCGCTGTGGCGATAGATTGGGGTCAAGTGCGAACAGCAAGGGGGCATTTATACGTCATGTCAACATACAGAGGGGCACACAGGAAGCAAAGAAAAAAGATCAACTGCTCAAAATACATTTTGGTTTGCTGTTGTTTTTATTGTTTTACTCTTAAAGTTGCGCTTTTATCTGTAAAAGGGCTAAAAGTCTGATATTTTAGCAATATATTACTTATTACTGTTTCTGATTAAGTTGATTTGCTGGCTTGTGTAGACAATTTCACCTCACTGGTCTTTACCTGAACTGACACAACACTTTGAGCGTCTGATCAACCTTTCTGTCCTCCGGATAACCGGATGATAACAGACAAGTCTGGTGTTGAAGGAGGTTATTTTGATGGCCAAGACAAGAGATGTGCTGCTACAGAGAATGTTTGAAGTCATGATGATTCCTATAAGCCCAGCTTGGTTTGATCCTCTTAGGAAGCAGCATTAAAGTCTGTTTCTGAAGGGGCATTTTACAATTTAGGAGAAGGATGGGGGTTTTCAAAAGGAAGTGTTCAACTGCCATTTCAAAGGTCAGCTCGTTCTCAAATAAGCGATCCCTCCTCTGGAGAGCTTTAGAAAGACATTTGCGTGCTTTATGTGCTGAAGTGGGCCCCTGAAGCTTTAGCTGAAGTTTAGAAAAATGTGTTTTTAAATCTGAGAGCACTTGTTCAATTCTTTGCTTTGATTTAGGGACAACTTGTGTGAAGGAAGTGATTAGTTAGTGCTCTCTTTTCACTTTACTCTCACTGTGCCCGTGGGACAATGTCATAGATCAGAGTCGCCTGTGTGACACTGCATGATCTTAACTAACAATGGACCGGAATCTATGATAAATGTGAACGAGTTATCTGGATAATGCCGTAATGCAATGCCAGAGAAGCTGCAGCTGGCTGTCTTAAAAATGTTTTTCTGAAAGGACAAAAATTGCAGCAGTGACATTAGCAGACTATTCATGCCTTGAAGAAAGTCAAAACATCCGACACAGGGCTTTTAAAAAAAATTGTTTTCTTTGAGATATTTGGTGAAAAATCAGATTAGGCATCAGTATTTTCCCTCAACATGCCATGATGTTTTATTGTACTGCTTTAGTAATAAGCATGCACTGTAGCAATATTTCCTTTGTGTGTCCTCCAGGTGGGGCTCTGCAATGTTATACCTGTATGGGCTCCAATAACGACGACTGCAACCGGCAAGGCTCCAAATCTTGTCCCAGCTACTCTGATGCCTGCGCTGTGGTACTGGGCCATGACAGTGAGTCCAACAGTGACAGTGTAGTAGCCTTTCTATTACTAGTTTTCTTTCTACCGACCATAAAGATACACAAAGCTCTATTTGTATCTGTGTGTGAGGATATGTGCGTGCGTGTTTGATGGAGGACAGGCTGCTGTCTGGAGACACATCCCAGCCAGCAGGAGGTCCGGGGCTTTGAAATGAAGAGCCTTGCTGCCTCTACTCGATCACTATCCTTAATTAGGACACCATGTGTTCATGTCACCGAGACCATTCCTCTTCACAAATTGAACTTAACTCTGAAATTTAATCCTGCATTAGATTTTCACATAAAATGTACCTTATTAATCATAAAAAAATGGGGCAACAAGAGAGACCATCATCCTGTCTGTAAATGACACATTGTAGATGCTACAGTTTTCCCAGATTACATTCTGGTGTCAGGCACGTGGTAGTGTGTACTTGACACCCATAAACAAAGGGAGAAAATCAAAATCAAATCATAAATTGTATATTGGTTGTTCAGTTTAAAGCAGCTGCTACACATCCCAAGTGACTTCTATTTCTGTCTGTTTTTTTGTCAGGTGGGGTGATGAAGTCGTGCTCCTACAAGTCTTTCTGCAGTCAGGCCAACAGCCAGGGCTACAGAGCACCGGGTGTCAGAGTTCACTGCTGCTACGGTGATGACTGCAATGTGACCAGCTTTGCCTCCCGGCTGCCAAGACTCAACTACCTGCTGCTGTTTCTGCCTCTGTTGTTCCACTGTCTTTTTAAGTAGACATACGGCTCCAAGTCATGATGCCAACAAGAATCCATCTGCAAAACAAATGACAACTAGTGTTCTCATTTACTCCAAAAAATGCCAAATAACCCTGCCTGATTTTACACTATACACGCTGTACTACAATTCCAATCTGCTTTGATTTACCATATTAATCCAAACAGAAGCCTTTACATTAAGGAGTTACTGTACGTGGAAGAGCTTGAGGTGCTAAATGTTACTGCGTGGATTATACACACATTGTTGGATTAACTCCATTACGCAGTACTCAAGCGTCTTTTAATAAATTTCACTTAGCTAATAACTAGAGGATTCTAAGGGAAGTGCTGGAATATCAGGCAGAGATAATTAATTTGTTGCCTCCCATATTTAAAGAGGAACAGATGCTGTTCATCAGTTTCCCCACTCTGTTCACCACAGGGTGAAACGAACAAAACTGTCTCTCTGTGTCTTACTAATCACCTTTCAAGTTACGCTTTACTGCATCCGTCTTCTTTTTCACCTAAACCTACACGTCCAAGTATCTCAGCATTACTCGTGTTGCAGAAGATGATGCTGTTGCTAAATACGGCACAAGGAGTTCAATCTAATAGTGTGCCGTTACATCATTAGCCTTCGAACCTGTCAATCACATATCTGACAAGCTGTGCGGGATATTTTGGAAGGCAGTGAGAAAACACTTCTCACACTCCGCGTAAGCCTTTAACATGCACTGGTTAAGGTGTTACACAGAGGAGGTTAATCCACTGCGTTTGAAGTCACTTAAAGAATTACTTTATGAACAGAGTTTGGAAGATGGCCTGAGGCTACTGTATATATTGTATAGAAAATTAAATTTAAAAAATGAATAATGTCTCTTTGGTGACATTCTGTTTATTGTGTCATTTTCTTGGAACTCATGTTAAGAAATGTTTTTTTTTGGTTTAACATTTATTATAATAATGCTTAATTGAGGAGATACATTATACAAGTTCTAGCAATCTGCACACTAAAATATTTTGTGGATTCTTTTATTTCTATATGTTTCTCATTACGTATGAAAATAACATTCCAATGTAATCTAATTGAAAGAAACTATGGATGCCCATGTAGCATATTGTCCAGAAATATTCTACCACTGAATGGCACAACAGCTAATACTGGATCTACAGACCAAATGATAACAAATGTTGACATTCAGAATTCAATGCAAATGCAAACACATGTAAACGTCT